CTCACGGGGAAACACTGACATAAGATCAAACGACTTCAAGACGGTCCTATATGAGGCGCATGGAATGCAGACTGATGTGTTTTGTTTACCGACCTCACCTGTACGTATCATGTGCTAACAGTAGTTCACAGGCTCGGGGTAGCTACAAGTTTTGTTGTCGAGCGAGTTGAGCTCTGTCAGATAAAACATTTCATAAATTCAATTACAATAACTCTGAAAATATTGGTTTGTAAAATATCAAGATCCCTATAAAATGCAAGTGCATGTGTGTGCAAGTTTTCAAGGTAGGCAACTCTCATCACGATCAAAATGATAATAAAATGTAGAATAAATGAATTATAAAGACTTTGTTTGTATTTGGTTCAATTTCTCACTCTTTTTGTTTGAAACTATGTGTCCTGTTTGCTTTTAGCTTGTATATGATAACTTGTATACAATTTCAATAAAAAACACTTTGCGTAACATGTTGTAGATATTTTATGATAAATAAAATATTTGTAGGGTTGATTAGCAATGTTTCTTTTCATTATTTTATTGTTGTGAAAGTTTTGAACAAGACCACACACTCAAAAGATGTAAAAGTGTTAAATTTGACAAAAAATCATTTTTTCAGTATGTTTTACCAAAAAATCCCCAGTTTATCGGAATGCTTAAATTTTCATAAAATTATCTCTACATATTGACATAACCATTATGTGAAACTTTTATTGAATTGTGCTGGTTGATTGGGAAAGGGTGGAACTTCCTAAATGAACTCAGCCTTTTTTACAATTGAATTCAAGGAGGTGGCTTTCCTAGGGCCAGAAGGGCCAGGCCCAGATTAAGGAATTATCAGGCACTCTTATAAAACCTGCATTACATTCTCATTTTGTTATGTGTTTGCCTGGTTTTTGTTTTTGCTTATTTTTTTCTCTTTTTGGGTAAAAAACAGGTGAGTAAAACTCAGACCTCTGGGCCTTTCATTATTGATGATTTCAATTGGGATCAAAAATAAATGATCACAATTTGTGCTGACATTTCAGGAAATGCTACAAATGATGGTGAAGTGATCGGACACCTTTCATTACCTAAGAAGCTGGCTATCTAAGCTATGTCCACACCTAACTAATGCCAGCACCTGATGTTGATAGTATCACTCTGACCCTTGTCTTAGCTTTTACCGCTCCAGATTAACATGGGGAAGGCAAGATTGTTTTCCTTTCAACGATATCCTAACTTGATCTTTGTTCCCCCCACTCACTCTCCCCACCCACTCTCCCAGACTCAGACCTGTACCCTGAATGATGATCTGTACTAGTCTCTCCCCCCTCAGATTATTATCAAAATTATATCTCTCTATCTGACCCTCTAGCACCAGCCTCCAACAACACCTTCCACCAACAATACTGAACAAACACTGGTATCTCAGTAGTCTTAAGTTAGTGTATTTTCCCATTTTCCTTTCCCTGATCTTGGGCCTTAATTCCTGGTTTGTGAATCTGGCACTCAACAGCACCCTAAGCAATCTCCCCAGTATATGGTATATGGTCTTTGTCTGCCATCCCACTTCTCACTTTCATTCTTTACCCACCCCCTACTCCCCCATCACTTCTGAAGTCAGATTTGTCATCTTCCTCAGATTATTACCCATATACAGATCTCAGTATCTGACACCCCTGCATGCACAACCACTCCCAAATTCCCTCCCCATCCCCATCTCCATCCCTTATCCCCCCATGCCCATTCCCATCCCCGCACCCAACAATTCCCAACCACTCTCAGTCCCCTAGACAAACCTTCATATAATTTAGCTCATTTATTGAAAGAATAGAGGAGCTTGTCTCCTCAAAGGCATTGTTTAAAAGTTGGGTGCAAAAGTTGAAATTCAGATATAAATAACCTTCAGTGCATTTGTTCTTGGATGCTGATATTTGGTATTTTTCAGTGCATTTGTTCTAGGATGCTGATATTTGGTATTGTTCAGTGTATTTGTACGGGGATGCTGATATTTGGTATTGTTCTATGTGTTTGTACTGGGATGTTGATATTTGGTATTTTTCAGTGTATTTGTATGGGGAGGCTGATATTTGGTATTGTTCAGTGTATTTGTACTGGGATGCTGATATTTGGTATTGTTCATTGTATTTGTACGGGGATGCTGATATTTGGTATTGTTCTGTGTGTTTGTACTGGGATGTTGATATTTGGTATTTTTCAGTGTATTTGTATGGGGAGGCTGATATTTTGTATTGTTCAGTGTATTTGTACGGGGATGCTGTTATTTGGTATTTTTCAGTGTATTTGTACGGGGAGGCTGACATTTGGTATTGTTCAGTGTATTTGTACGGGGATGCTGATATTTGTTTTTTTCCAGTGTATTTGTATGGGGATGCTGATATTTGGTATTGTTCAGTGTATATGTACGGGGATGCTGATATATGGTATTTTTCAGTGTATTTGTATGGGGATGCTGATATTTGGTATTGTTCAGTGTATTTATACGGGGATGCTGATATTTGGTATTTTTCAGTGTATTTGTATGGGGAGGCTGATATTTTGTATTGTTCAGTGTATTTGTACGGGGATGCTGATATTTGTTTTTTTCCAGTGTATTTGTATGGGGATGCTGATATTTGGTATTGTTCAGTGTATATGTACGGGGATGCTGATATATGGTATTTTTCAGTGTATTTGTACGGGGATGCTGATATTTTGTATTGTTCAGTGTATTTGTACGGGGATGCTGTTATTTGGTATTTTTCAGTGTATTTGTACGGGGATGCTGATATTTGGTATAGTTCAGTGTATTTGTACGGGGATGCTGATATTTGGTATAGTTCAGTGTATTTGTACGGGGATGCTGATATTTGTTTTTTTCCAGTGTATTTGTATGGGGATGCTGATATTTGGTATTGTTCAGTGTATATGTACGGGGATGCTGATATATGGTATTTTTCAGTGTATTTGTATGGGGATGCTGATATTTGGTATTTTCAGTGTATTTGTACGGGGATGCTGATATTTGGTCTTTTTCAGTGTATTTGTACGGGGATGCTGATATTTTGTATTGTTCAGTGTATTTGTACGGGGATGCTGATATTTGTTTTTTTCCAGTGTATTTGTATGGGGATGCTGATATTTGGTATTTTTCAGTGTATTTGTATGGGGATGCTGATATTTGGTATTGTTCAGTGTATTTATACGGGGATGCTGATATTTGGTATTTTTCAGTGTATTTGTATGGGGATGCTGATATTTGGTATTGTTCAGTGTATTTGTAAGGAGATGCTGATATTTGGTATTTTTCAGTGTATTTGTACTGGGATTCTGATATTTGGTATTTTTCAGTGTATTTGTACGGAGATGCTGATATTTGGTATTTTTCAGTGTATTTGTATGGGGATGCTGATATTTGGTATTTTTCAGTGTATTTGTATGGGGATGCTGATATTTGGTATTGTTCAGTGTATTTGTAAGGAGATGCTGATATTTGGTATTTTTCAGTGTATTTGTATGGGGATGCTGATATTTGGTATTTTCAGTGTATTTGTACGGGGATGCTGATATTTGGTCTTTTTCAGTGTATTTGTACGGGGATGCTGATATTTGTTTTTTTCCAGTGTATTTGTATGGGGATGCTGATATTTGGTATTTTCAGTGTATTTGTACGGGGATGCTGATATTTTGTATTGTTCAGTGTATTTGTACGGGGATGCTGTTATTTGGTATTTTTCAGTGTATTTGTACGGGGAGGCTGATATTTGGTATTGTTCAGTGTATTTGTACAGGGATGCTGATATTTGGTATTGTTCAGTGTATTTATACGGGGATGCTGATATTTGGTATTTTTCAGTGTATTTGTATGGGGATGCTGATATTTGGTATTTTTCAGTGTATTTGTATGGGGAGGCTGATATTTTGTATTGTTCAGTGTATTTGTACGGGGATGCTGATATTTGTTTTTTTCCAGTGTATTTGTATGGGGATGCTGATATTTGGTATTTTTCAGTGTATTTGTACAGGGATGCTGATATTTGGTATTGTTCAGTGTATTTATACGGGGATGCTGATATTTGGTATTTTTCAGTGTATTTGTACAGGGATGCTGATATTTGGTATTGTTCAGTGTATTTATACGGGGATGCTGATATTTGGTATTTTTCAGTGTATTTGTATGGGGATGCTGATATTTGGTATTGTTCAGTGTATATGTACGGGGATGCTGATATATGGTATTTTTCAGTGTATTTGTACGGGGATGCTGATATTTGGTCTTTTTCAGTGTATTTGTACGGGGATGCTGATATTTTGTATTGTTCAGTGTATTTGTACGGGGATGCTGTTATTTGGTATTTTTCAGTGTATTTGTACGGGGATGCTGATATTTGGTATAGTTCAGTGTATTTGTACGGGGATGCTGATATTTGGTATAGTTCAGTGTATTTGTACGGGGATGCTGATATTTGTTTTTTTCCAGTGTATTTGTATGGGGATGCTGATATTTGGTATTGTTCAGTGTATTTGTACGGGGATGCTGATATTTGGTATTGTTCAGTGTATTTGTACTTGGATGCTGATATTACATGCTAAATTCAGGGTTGACGTGACGTTGATGGATTGTTGACGTGACGTCATTGTATTGTTGAAGTGATGTCAGACCATTGTTATGAATAGGGGAATCCCCCATCTAAACCCGAGGGTGAGACAAGGAAATCTCACACCGGTAAAAGTGCGGATACACCTGTCCAGGGTAAGAGAAATAAATAGCAATTCATATTTTACTAGGATAGTGATATTTGGCGTCTTTTTTGTGCTGGACTGTTATTTTAATATTACGCATATGAGCAAGCTATTCTGTCGTCAAACAGCTTGTTTATTTTATTTTTTGGCTTTTCCCCATATCCCTGATACCTTAACACTACTAGGATAGATACATGTATATCTCCTCCCCCTCCCCCACCCCACTTCTCAACTTCTAGCCTACTGGACCAAATGACTCCATTATTAGTAGGTATTAGTGGATGGTCTCCAGCCCAGATCCGGAGCAACCAGCCATAGCCCCTGTTCACATGGGTTTATCAAAGGAAATCTGTATTCAATTTCCTACACATTGGTTCTTGTCTGAGGATCCTGTATCAGTACAGAGGTCTAGGTAGGATCAGTGTGTAATCTCCTTAGCACCTCCAGGGGCGGAGAGTTCTGTTATCTGTCCGGCGTTGACCCCGGCTCACCGCTTATGTCTCAATTCCAGAGATTTGTATACATCCCTTCTCTGTGGGTTATGGTTATTAGTGATGTCCAGCATTAGTTGATTTGGTAACAGAAGGGGAAGGTAATGGGATAGAGACAGTGATGTACTGCTAGAGAACAGACCATTCCCACCACAACTACAGCATTACACCAGCACAACAACAGCCTAACCACAATGCCACCATCTAAATAACCACAGCGCCATCACCAATACAACCACAGCTCCATCAGACACAACCACAGTGCCTACCCCCATACAACCACAGCACAATCACCAACACAACCCTAGCGCCATCACCAGCCTAACCACAATGCCACCATCTAAATAACCACAGCGCCATCACCAATACAACCACAGCTCCATCACAGACACAACCACAGCACAATCACCAACACAACCCTAGCGCCATCACCAATACAACCACAGCTCAATCACAGACACAACCACAGTCCTTACCCCATACAACCACAGCACAATCACCAACACAACCCTAGCGCCATCACCAATACAACCACAGCTCCATCAGACACAACCACAGTCCCTACCCCCATACAACCACAGCACCATCACCAACACAACCCTAGCGCCATCACCAATACAACCACAGCTCCATCAGACACAACCACAGTCCCTACCCCCATACAACCACAGCACCATCACCAACACAACGCTAGCGCCATCACCCACACAACGCTAGCGCCATCACCAATACAACCACAGCTCCATCAGACACAACCACAGACCCTACCCCCATACAACCACAGCACCATCACCCACACAACCACAGTCCCTACCCCCATACAACCACTGCACCATCACCAACACAACCGTAGCGCCATCACCAATACAACCACAGCACCATCACCCACACAACCACAGTCCTTACCCCCATACAAACACAGCACCATAACCAACACAACCACAGCTCCATCACAGACACAACCACAGTCCCTACCCCCATACAACCACTGCACCATCACCAACACAACCCTAGCGCCATCACTAATACAACCACAGCTCCATCAGACACAACGACAGTCCCTACCCCCATACAACCACAGCACCATCACCCACACAACCACAGTCCTTACCCCCATACAAACACAGCACCATAACCAACACAACCACAGCTCCATCACAGACACAACCACAGTCCCTACCCCCATACAACCACAGCACCATCACCAACACAACCCTAGCGCAATCACCAATACAACCACGGCACCATCACCCACACAATCACAGCGCCATCACCAATACAATCACTGCACCATCACCAACACAACCCTAGCGCCATCACCAATACAACAACAGCTCCATCAGACACAACCACAGCTCCATCACCCACACCACCACAGCCCCTACCCCCATACAGCCACAGCCCCATCCCCAACACAACCACAGTCCCCACCCCCATACAACCACAGTACCATCACCAACACAACCGCAGCGCCATCACCAATTCAACCACAGCACCATAACCCACACAATCACAGCGCCTTCACCAATACAACCACCGCTCCATCAGACACAACCACAGTTCCTACCCCCATACAACTACAGTCCCTACCCCCATACAACCACAGCACCATCACCAACACAACCACAGCGCCATCACCAATACAACCACAGCTCCATCACAGACACAACCACAGTCCCTACCCCCATACAACCACAGCACCATCACCCACACAACCCTAGCGCCATCACCAATACAACCACAGCTCCATCAGACACAACCACAGTCCCTACCCCCATACAACCACAGCACCATCACCAATACAACTACAGTACCATCACCCACACAACCACAGTCCCTACCCCCATACAACTACAGTGCCATCACCCTACCAACCACAGCGCCATCACCCACACAACCAGTGCCATCACCCACACAACCAATTAATGAACACCACAATCACAAAAATTACTTCTTACAAAAACGCAATCACCACTAAATTACTACATGCATTACAAAACTCAGTCAACACCACAACCACTCAAATAAGAAAAGTTCAACTACGATCGCAGATATATATTTTTGCTCATGACATGAAAACCTTGTGTTTGAGATGCTTGTTCTTGCTCGTCTTTTGTTCCGTTACATTAAATCCTTGTACATGAGGTGTTTGAAGTGAAGTCTAGGAAATACTGTAAGTGTACATATTTTGGTAGTTTTCTTATTTTAGCGCATTTTTTGTGATTTGTATAATGTGCTGATTTAAAAAGCTAATCATAAAATTTGTTTTCTGAAGTACATTTGCTAGCCTCAAGGAACGTTTGGTAGGCTTATTTTGGATTATCCTGATGGAGTTACATACCTTTGATCGCTAAAATACAGTTACACTAATATATGTATCTCTGCAGCAGGTATTCAAGAAAGGGGGCAGCTGAGTGATAAGTAGAATTTGAGGAAGGAGAAGAGAGAAAGAAGGTAACAGAATATGAAAAAGTGATTGGGGTGCATTTTGAGTCTCCCCTGGCCTGTAGATGTTGGGGTGCATTTTGAGTCTCCCCTGGCCTGTAGATGTTGGGGTGCATTTTGAGTCTCCCTTGGCCTGTAGATGTTGGGGTGCATTTTGAGTCTCCCTTGGCCTGCAGATGTTGGGGTGCATTTTGAGTCTCCCCTGGCCTGCAGATGTTGCTGTTCACTAATGGGGCGTAAGGAGAGTGATACAATTCGGAGGATAGAGTGTTAATGGTATGTAGGGATACGTGACAATTACTGACCTTATACATGCTCTTAGGGAAGTCATTGGAAACATTTGTATCACTTTAACAGATACTGCTCAATTACCCTGCATGTACAATGACTGGGAGCCGGCTTGTGGGGACCGTACCTACAGCTGTGAGGGTGTAACCAAGGTCTTTCTCGCCGCTCACTTATATATATAATTGACAACAAGTAGCCATATCTGACCAGGTTTGTGTAATCACGGAGACCTGACTGTGATGTTGTCTATACGTGTTCTGTGCGTATTATATTACCGCTATTAGGTCTTGGTACAGTATACGTTGCCATTAGGTAACTCTATCATAGGATTGGATTCCATGAATTTTGCAAATGCATTACATTTGTGTAAATTTAATTCCTTCTCCAAATCATGCAGTTTTCATGTTTTGGGAAGAAAGATGGTTTGAGCTTGGTTCCTGCAGATTTTCATTATTTTTAAGCAATTACAAGATGGTATTTGGATTGGAGCTTGCTAAGATAAAGGGCTATTACATTTAATGATATATATGACCTCGACCCACTTTCAAGGTCACAGTGTTCAGATGGGTTTAAAAAATTTCAAGCAACTTTTTGTAAAGATCAATGAGGTCAAGGATCATATTGCATATTGAGCTAAGGGGTATACGTTTAAACTTTCTGATGAAAAATAACTTTGAATTAGTGATCAATCAGATCTTCTGAATAACCATGAGACCTAGAGTTGTAATATTTTGAATGTAGGTTCTTAGAGATATCAGTTATATTAAAATAAATGACCTTGACCTACTTTCAAGATAACTGAAGCTTAATATTTTAGAAAATATGCAAAACCATTTTTAACTCATTCACCCCTGAAATTTCATAATGAACTATTCCAACCTTTGAATTGGTTGTGTGTTTCAATGGTTTGAACAAAGAGAAAGAGATGCTTGGCTGTGTGTTTATGGTAAAGACAGAGAGGAAGAGATACTTGGCTGTGTGTTTATGGACAGAGAGGAAGAGATATTTGGTTGTGTGTTTATGGACAGAGAGGAAGAGATGCTGGGCTGTGTGTTTATGGACAGAGAGGAAGAGATATTTGGTTGTGTGTTTATGGTATGGAGGAAGAGATGCTTGGCTGTGTGTTTATAGACAGAGAGGAAGAGATGCTTGTCTGGGTATTTATGGATGGAGAGGAAGAGATGCTTGGCTGTATGTTTATGGTAAAGACAGATAGGAAGAGATGCTTGTCTGTGTATTTATGGATGGAGAGGAAGAGATGCTTGGCTGTATGTTTATGGATGGAGAGGAAGAGATGCTTTGCTGTGTGTTTATCGACAGAGAGGAAGAGATGCTTTGCTGTGTGTTTATCGACAGAGAGGAAGAGATGCTTTGCTGTGTGTTTATCGACAGAGAGGAAGAGATGCTTTGCTGTGTGTTTATGGACAGAGAGGAAGAGATATTTGGTTGTGTGTTTATGGTATGGAGGAAGAGATGCTTGGCTGTGTGTTTATCGACAGAGAGGAAGAGATGCTTTGCTGTGTGTTTATGGACGGAGAGGAAGAGATGCTTTGCTGTGTGTTTATCGACAGAGAGGAAGAGATGCTTTGCTGTGTGTTTATCGACAGAGAGGAAGAGATGCTTTGCTGTGTGTTTATGGACGGAGAGGAAGAGATGCTTTGCTGTGTGTTTATGGACGGAGAGGAAGAGATGCTGGGCTGTATGTTTATGGTAAAGACAGATAGGAAGAGATGCTTCGCTGTGTGTTTATGGACGGAGAGGAAGAGATGCTGGGCTGTGTGTTTATGGACAGAGAGGAAGAGATGCTTGGTTGTGTGTTTATTGACAGAGAGGAAGAGATATTTGGTTGTGTGTTTATGGACAGAGAGGAAGAGATATTTGGTTGTGTGTTTATGGTATGGAGGAAGAGATGCTTGTCAGTGTATTTATGGATGGAGAAGAAGAGATGCTTGGCTGTCTGTTTATGGACAGAGAGGAAAAGATGCTTGGCTATATGTTTATGGTAAAGACAGATAGGAAGAGATGCTTGTCTGTGTATTTATGGATGGAGAGGAAGAGATGCTTGGCTGTGTGTTTATCGACAGAGAGGAAGAGATGCTTTGCTGTGTGTTTATCGACAGAGAGGAAGAGATGCTTTGCTGTGTGTTTATCGACAGAGAGGAAGAGATGCTTTGCTGTGTGTTTATGGACGGAGAGGAAGAGATGCTGGGCTGTGTGTTTATGGACAGAGAGGAAGAGATGCTGGGCTGTGTGTTTATGGACAGAGAGGAAGAGATATTTGGTTGTGTGTTTATGGACAGAGAGGAAGAGATATTTGGTTGTGTGTTTATGGTATGGAGGAAGAGATGCTTGGCTGTGTGTTTATGGACAGAGAGGAAGAGATGCTGTTTTGTTGTGTCATCAGGGCTATACCGTGATTATACCATTAGGAAGTAGCATCAGCCATTCACATCACCGCTATGTTGTAATGGACAACTCACCTTACCCATAATTACCACATTAGCCTCTACACACTCCAGGTGTCCACGCCTGTGAAGCTTGACATCAATTTGACAAAAAATACAGTTTACTTTATTTCAATGAATTCCTACAAATCCTAAAAGTGTTTCTTATTTTTTTCGACAATTATCATCTGTGGAAAATATTTTTTCAGTTATTGATTTTTTAAATGAGATACATTAGAAAGCAATTAGGCTTTTAAAATCTTCATTAACTTATTATATTGTAATGATACATTAAAACCTTTAATATTATTGATGTCTTTTTTCTCAAAATTGGTTAATTGTGCACATATAAATGAACTTTCAGACTGTTTTCGATAAAAAATAAAAATTTAAAACAGATTTAATATGATTTAAAGCAACTGAACCTTGATCAAGCTTATTCTGAGACATGCGCCAAAGCTTCATTAGATTGATGATAGTTATATATAAACAAATTTATCTTTGATTTTGCTCCTTTTTTAATATTAAATAAATAACTAAATAAATAATAAGGGATATCAAGATTTGTGAAACTTTGTTGAACTTTATAATAGTGATTTCCTTTAATTTTTAAAAGTTCTTTATTTTGATAATTTTCAAAAAATGAACATTATGAATGACCGACTTACTAGGTAGTATGTAGACTAACAATGCGGTGAAGATGTTGTTCTGGGGTCCCCATATAGTGATGGTGGTCCGACAATTAACACATTAGCCGTAATGGAATGAGGTCTGTGAGTGTCCGTCTAACATCTGATGTGGATATGGCAGTTCCAAACCTGGCTAGCTATGTCTAAATTGGTCTTACATGTGAGGTGCAGCCACACAAATGTACTAATTGGTCGGTAAGTATTTTGACATTATATTATGTCCTAACACCTCTCCACTTAACCTAACACATGATCACTGTGGAAAATGGAGGCATTTTGCTCACAGAGGCCAACTACCGATGCTAAAGTATTCGGATGCAATTCCCTTAAATGCATTTTGTGCTTGGAGTAAATCGTCAGGTTTATTACTGGTAACAGCTACATTAAAAAAATGCCATTTGATGTTGCAGCAAGACATACTGCAAAATTATTTATTACCAGGTTTAACTTTTTCATGAACTATTTTTGCAGAATTTATTATGGCATAAAATATTCTGTCGTGTTTAGAGTGGCATTTCAAATTCTACGCAGCCAATGCTATCTGACAGGTATACCAAGTCCTATGACAAAATAAATTACTTAAGAGGTGTTTCAAGTTCATAGTGACAAGAATAGTAGAGGGGCAATTCAAGTTGATTTGCATAAAGTTACATCATTATCTTCACTGGATACTTTAAACAGTGAACAAATAAAAATAGTTCTAGACATATGTAGTACTTTATACATGTACAGAATGCATAGTATCGCTACAGTACTTGGTTGGTATGTTACTAAGTAATGGACCTTTGCAATGGTTTTCGGGTCTCCAAATTTTGAGTCCTGAGCTCTGTATTCATGAAACCGTTCCCATGCTCA